GTTACTCTTCTCTCTTCCACTTGTGCTTCATCTCCATCGACAGGTACCTTGCTGTTACTGACCCTCTGGTCTCTCCTAGCAAGTTCACGGTGTCTATGTCAGGGATATGCGTCAGTGTCTCCTGGATCCTGCCCGTTGTATACAGCGGTGCAGTGTTCTACACAGGTGTCAGTGACGATGGGATGGAGGAATTAGTAAGTGCTCTCAACTGTGTAGGTGGCTGTCAGATGGTTGTAAATCAAGACTGGGTTTTGATAGATTTTCTGTTGTTCTTCATACCTACCCTTGTTATGATAATTCTTTACTGTAAGATATTTCTAATAGTGAAACAACAAGCTGTAAAAATTGAAAATACTGGTAGCAAAGCAGAATCATCCTCAGACAGTTACAAATCCAGAGTGGCCAAGAGAGAGAGAAAAGCTGCTAAAACCCTGGGTATCACAGTGGTAGCATTTATGATTTCATGGTTACCATATACAATTGATACATTAATTGATGCCTATATGGGCTTCATAACCCCTGCCTATATTTATGGGATTTGTTGTTGGGGTGCTTATTGTAACTCAGCCATTAACCCTTTGATTTATGCTTTATTTTATCCTTGGTTTAGAAAAGCCATAAAAATTATTTTAAGTGGAGAATTTTTTTTTTAAGATTTTATTTATTTATTTGAGAGAGAGAGAATGAGAGACAGAGAGCATGAGAGGGAGGAGGGTCAAAGGGAGAAGTAGACCCCCTGCCGAGCAGGGAGCCCGATGCGGGACTGGATCCAGGGACTCCAGGATCATGACCTGAGCCGAAGGCAGTCGCTTAACCAACTGAGCCACCCAGGCGCCCCTTAAGTGGAGAATTTTTAAAGGATAGTTCATCGACCATTAGTTTATTTGCAGAATAAATGTAAACACTAAGTTGACAAATTTAAAAATATTTTAAAAATTATAAATTCATGACAAAATCAGATGTAAGAAATGAACAAAACATTTCAAAATTGGAGAAATATATTATTTTTTCAAATTAGCCAGAAACCAAATCACAAGAAGGTGCTTCCATTAAATCATTGCAAAGACATTTACTGAACTAAGTAATAAGTAACGAGGTGGCTTACACTGTAATCTGTCTTAGTGTTCTGTACATGTCCTTGCCATATGCACTTGTTTCTTCCAATTTCATGGAATTTGGAATCTCACTTTTCATTGTGATATCTCTAATCATTTTCTCTTTTATGGTCAACTTTCATTTATCTTCAAATGGTCTTTTTTTCCTTGTCTTTTGCAACATTTTACTAGTTTACAAAGGCTGTCATGACAAAGTACCACAGACTAGGTGGCTTAAACAACAGAAATTTATTCAGTATCTCGTGATTTTGGAGGCTAAAATTCCAAAATCAAGGTGTCAGCAGGGTTGGTTTCTTCTGAGGACCCCATTCTTTGGCTTGCAGGTGGCTAGCTTCTCTCTGCATCCTCACATGGTTTATGCCATGTGTATGTGTGTCTGTGTCCTAATCTCCTCTTCTTATAACACCACCAGTCATATTGGGTTGGCGATCACCCTTAAAAATTCACTTTAACTTAATTACCTTTTAAAAGGCCTTATCTCGATAAATGGTTACATTCTAAAGTACTAGGAGTTAGGACTTCTACATATTAATTTGGGGGACACCATTCAGCCCATAACAGGCATAAGACTAGGATTGGTGACACTCTTCAAGGGTCTGTTTGTTTGCTGCTCATTTGTGATACTGTCTGTACCTTCCAGGAGCTTTTGGGACAGCAGGTAAGCCTTTCCTGTTTAACAGCTGGACAGAATCTTGGAATGTTCACCTGTCATATTGTGGGATCAGTCATTCAGCCTCAGAATCAGGTATTAACTGCAGACATTGCCCAGAAGTGGAAAATTGCAAGTGGAAAAACTTGCCACAAAAAAGTTGGCCCAGTGAAATGGAAATCTGCAAGTGAAAGAATGATCAATTATTGGGGCGCCTGGGTGGCTCAGCTGGTTAAGCATCTGACTCTTGGTTTCAGCTCAGATCATGATCTCGTGGTCGTGAGATTGAGCCTTGGGTAGGGCTCTGCACTCAGGGCAGAGTCAGCTTCAGATCTCCCTCCCACCCCCTCGGGCCCTCCCCCTACTCATGCTCTCTCTCTCTCTAAAATAAATAAATAAAATCTTTAAAAAAAAAAAAAAAGAATGATCAATTATGACTAGCAGTGATACCAACTTTCTTCACTTGAATATACTGCGTGTTTCACTTCCCCAGAGTGTTGTGGAGTCAAAAAGTCAATGCTGATACTGCAAAAACTTCTATTAAAAAGGATATAAAACATGTTATAATTTTACATTTTGCTGCCTGAAATATTTTACATTGTTGATACAATAGAAGTTTTTTGGAATGCATATCTAGAGTATTTTGTATACTGAGTCTAAATTGTAATAGAGTACTGGTCTATAAACCTTTTTTTTTCTTTTTGGTTTATCTGTGGAGTCACTCAATTAAAACAATTGAAGTCTTTTTTTTTCTCATTGGTTTTCACTGAGATTTTTCAAGCAAACATTGGACATAAATTATATGCAAATACCTGTGTTAGGAATACCTAACAATAAAAAAATGTGTTTTATATAGTATTTTCCTCAAAGAATGTAATTTTGTAGATAATATGGGCAATACATTTTAAATTGTATTATTGAGAACCAGAAAAGTAGTCCTATGAGCAAGGACTAATTGTCACTAATTGTCACAAGGCTGGTACTTGGCATTGGGCATTTCTAAAACATTGTCTCCTCACTGACATGTGGTGTCATGGCCTGAGGGGTTAAAGAATTGTTAAAGACTTTACTTTTTTAGTAGAAGGGCCTTTTGAGGAGTCTTCAAGCATTAGACCTGTATGGGCAGACAGGGGTGTGGTCTTTTTTTGACAGGAGGGTTAATTTCCATAAATGGAGGATTGGCTTGGCAAACTATAAGAAAATGAGTAGACTATAGCATAGATAACAACCAATTCATGTGATCAATGACTATACTGAATAGATCAGATTAACTATATCAGATTTAAAAAAGGATATCATGCTCCCTATTTTTAGAGTATAGAGGACAAACAGAAAAAAGCACGTGAAAAAGTATAATAGTCGTATTTAATAAATGTCTCATAGAATGGCATTGTTGTCAAATTATAGATAATGAATAGGATAGAAGTTCAAAAGTAAATTAAAGATTCTTGAAATTTATCCAATGGGCAAGCAAAATATATTGTTATAAATGCTACCAACATTTCCAGTGCAATTCTAAATATGGAATGTCTTTTGACAGGTGGTGGGTATGTGGAACTTCACAGAGGAGAGAAGAAAGAAATTAGATTCTTCCATATACTTCATGATTGTCTTTCCTAAGAATGATTACCCCAGATACAGATTTAAAAATTCAGATGTAAATTCCTTGCTTTATTTTATCCTGGTTTTAGGAGTGAATTAAAACAACATAACTGGTCAAGAACTAAAGGACAGTTCATCAACATAAATGTGCTTTCAGGATAAGACTGAATTAAAATCAAGGAAATTGTGAGATGTTGGGAATTTTCCATGTATAATGACATGGAATACGGTGTATGAATGTGATATCAAATTTGAAATAAGGAGTTCCTCAGATTCAGTCAAACATTGCTTCAAGTGAGCTTCTCTAAACTTTTGCCACAGATTTATTGCCCTGGTGAAGTAAGGTCCGATTTCCTACTGCTGATTCTGCCCACTCCTCTGCTTTGTCACTTTTCCACTGCCCCGTCTTCTGGGGGGATTTTCTTGGTATTTTCACCTTTCATGCTCACCGTCCTGTTCCTTTTTTTTTTTTTTTAAGATGTATTTATTTATTTGAGAGAGAGAGAAAGGGAATGTAAGAGCAGGGGGAGGGGCAGAGGAAGAGGAAGAGAAGCAGACTCCCCTCCCTGCCATGCTAAGTGGTGAGCCTGATGGTGGGGTTCAATCCCAGGACCCCAAGATCATGACCTGAGCTGATATCAGGAGTCGGTTGCTTAAGGGACTAAGCCACCCAGGTGCCCCTGCCCTGCTACTTTCAATGCTCATTTTCTTCTTCCTATTCTCTATGCCATGTGCTCTTGGTCTTCCCCTAGACTCTAGTTCTCTTGACTGTCATTCCAACATCTTCTTTTGCTGGAGTTCTTTTCTTCAATCTCCTCAGACCCTCTGCTTCATGCTCTCTCTAGGAGTTCAGTTCCTCCTGTTCACCAGTGCTCTTCCAACAGCAAGGGAATCAGATGTAAAATTCAGATCTGGCACAAGACCAAGATTTGATGTTTAGAGGACATTCCCTCATAGTGGAATTGATCATGGCAAAGAGATAACATTTACCACAATAATTACCTCTTCAACATAATTACTTTCATGTGGTATGTCCCTTCACTTCTTCAACATGATGTGGGAATAATTAATTGCCTGTCATGGCATATTATAAACATCATCTAACACTGTCACTGTTGATCATAATGCAAACTTAGGATGCATGCTGGCAGCCAGCAGAAGCAGGGAGAGGCTAGGATGGATTCTCCGAGACCCTTCAGAGGAAGCACAGCCCTGCTAACACTTTGATTTTGGATTTCATACTTTTGGACCCCAGAACTCTGCAGGAATCAATTTCTGTCATTTTGAGCCACCAGGTGAGTACTGATTTGTTACAGCAGCGACAGAAACGAATCTATCAAGTATGTTTGAGGGGAGAAGATCCAAGTGCAAGGAAGTTCATTCTCCTTTCCCTGGACAGAACTCAGTGGGTATGAAGACCACAGGGCAGAGATGGCTGCATAGGTTGGCTGAGCCCATAGCCTGAGACAGCCTCACAGAGCACCTAACTGCTCTGCACAGTACAGGGACAGGAAAAATTCCTGAGCCCCTGAGGGTGCCATGGAGTCATGACAGGTCCTAGAAACTCCACTAAATGTTCCACGGCCTGTGATGCCACAAGGATAGCTGAATTCTTCTGAGAAGCACACTGAAATTGGCTGATAAAAGGAAGAGTTAGAGGAGCCTACTGTCACAGGACGGGACCAAAGTCCAGAGACCGGACAGGACTTCTCATTGAGGGTGGATGGTCACCCAGAGCAGATCTCTAATCCACAGAGCCTGGTTAACTCAGTGGGGGAGGTAGAGAAAACCCAGACAGACAGAAAGGAAGTTCTATCACCTGGAGGTCAGGGGCATGGCGCAGACATCAAGTTTATTTATAGTTGCAGAGCATAGAGGAGCAACACACAAAATCTGGAGCTAAATTACTTGGATGCCAATCCTCAGTTCATCATTTACTAGATGTTAACCCTGGGCAAGTGGTTAACTTCCAGTGCTTCAGTAAAATAGGGATAATAATCATACAAACTTCATGGCGGTTTTCTGTGTGTGACTATTTAAGAACTTACTACATGTAAAACACCTAGATAGAGCAGATGTTCCAAAGCTGTTTGCTGCCGTTAAAATGGCAGTTGCCTTAACAATAAAGTAACACGTTTTGCACACCTGAATCTGTGCCCTGTGACTCACCGAAGACACTTGCGGGTCTTTCTAGAATTTCTGCCATGTTTTGGAAGCATTTTACCATAGACTACTAAAAGCCATAAGATAAGAGCTATGACCCAAACTCTAAGAAAATTGGTGTAAAGGTGTAAGGTAGATGCTCTGAAGTTATGTTGGGTTCAGAAACCTCTGAATATCTATGATGAGACAGAGTTTGAGAGAGAACTTCAGAACATTTCCAGTTTCCTGGGCAGACACAGGGTAATTAGCAGAGGCTAAGGGGAGCGGAGGGATGGAAGGAGGGAAAGAAAACTAGGGAGAACATGAGAGAGGACTCTGACAGAACTCAAATCTCTGAGTCTTAGCTGAGGACACCGGAGAGGAAGG